ATATATATATATAAGTAAAATAAATATATATAAATATAATATATAAATATATATAATAAATATAATATATATGTAAATATATAGTTATATATATATATATATATATAAAATATAAAATATATATAATATATATAAATATAAATATAAATATATATATTCGTGCCGAATATGTAAAACTCTTCAATTAGCAAGAACTCATTTAAAGTTAAGTCCATTCTAAAAAATTTTCTCTTATACGTTAAAGATATATTTTTTTTCATTAATGTTAATGTTTTTAAATTTTTAATTTTGCTCCAAAAGAATCTTAGAAAACTTACCAACCCTTATTATAACAAGAACAATTTATTTTAGCCTAACCCAACTAAATAATTTTTTAGATTTGTTTTCATAAATTAATACTTAAACAAACGCAAGGGAAATAGATTTTTATGTAGGTTCAAGAATGATTTTGGCGAAATTACTGCATACACAAATTTTTTGACGTGCTATATGGCAAGATGAGCGTTGCTATTTAAGCCAAGATCGCAAGTTCTGCCTAATTGGCACTACATATGTTATATAATTAATATATAATATATATATATTTTATATATATATATATATATATATATAGTATATATAATATATATATATATATATATATATATATATATATATATATAATATATATATATATATATATGAATATTATCTATATTATCTCCGATACTCTTAAAAAATTGTTGATCTAATCCCTTTGGTAGAACTATAACATACTGAATTACGATTCCAGAATATCACCATAAAATTAATTTGTAAAAGGTAGCTCAACATTTTTTAGGCTTCAACTTAGATGTAAATAATATATTTAACAGTTCAAAGGAAAACTGTCACCTACATGTGCTTTATCTGGCCATTATCTGGTCTTATCTGGTCATTACTGGCTTTTCTGGTCATTATCTGGTCATTATCGGTCTTTATCTGTTCATTAATTTGGTCATTATCTGGTCATTACTGGGTCATTATCTGGTCATTATACTGGTCATTATCTGGTCATTCTCTGGTCATTAATCTGGTCATTAGGCTGTCAAGAAGAACATCAATGTCTCAGTCGTTACATTACCACCATATCGTGAGGAGACTAATTTACGGGGTCCATTGTTACTTGGGGCAAAGAAACGTAAACAAGAAATTATTGATAGTTTTTGTGTTAATTGAACAGAATCTCTTCACTAAACACACAAATAGTACATTATCAAAGAACGGATGAAAAATAGACGATGAATGCAATGTGTTCTTATCTGCAATTTTAACACTTTAATGCAGAATGTGGATTACTTCACGTTAACTAAGTCACTAAATTTTGGGTATAAGTTTACAGCTTCCATCCAGACAACAGCGAACAACATAATATAACTGTGTATATAAGTGGTAATAAATGTGCCTGAGCGCCGTATGCCACAGCTCCTCACCCAGAGCTCCTCACCCAGAGATCCTCAACTCACAGCTCCTCACCCAGAGATCCTCAACTCACAGCTCCTCACCCAGAGATCCTCAACTCACAGCTCCTCACCCATATATCCTCAACTCACAGCTCACTCACCCCAGAGATCCTCAATTCACATCTCACCTCCACTCCAGAGATCCTCACTCGCAGCTCTCACCCAGATCAAAAAATAAAAAAAAAATTAAAGATCCTCACTCACAGCCTGCCTCACCCAGAGATCCTCAACTCACCGCTCCTCATCCAGAGATCCTTAACCACAGTTCTCACTCCAAGAATCCTCACTCAACAGCTCCTCACCCAGAGATCGCAGCTCTGCGAGACGCGCATCTCCCTCACCCATAGAGGGTCCTCAACTCACAGCTCCTCACCCAGAGATCCTCATTTCACAGCTCCTCACTCCAGAATCCTCAACTCACAGGCTCCTCATCCAAGATCCTTAACTCATAGGCTCCTCACTCCAGAGATCCTCACCTCACAGCTCCTTGACCCAAAGATCCTCAACCACAGCTCCTTACCCAGAGATCCTCAATTCACAGTTCCCTCACTCCAGAGATTCCTCAACTCGCAGCTCCTCACCAGAGATCCTCAACTCCTCAGCTCGTCACCCTGAATCCTCAACTCATACAGCTCTCATCCAGAATCCTTAACTCACAGCTCCCACTCCATGAGATCCTCACCACATGCTCCTCACCAGAGCTCCTCAACTCCAGCTCCTCATCCAGTAGATCTTCAACTCACAGCTCCTCACTCAGAGATCCTCGACTCACATCCCTCACTCCATAGAATCTTCACTCACAGCCCTCACCCAGAGCTCCTCAACTCACAGCTCCTCACCCATAGAATCCCTCAACTCACAGCTCGTCACTCCAGAGATAATCAACTCACAGCTCATCACTCCAGAGATCCTCAACTCACAGCTCGTCACCCAGAGCTCCTCAACTCACAGCTCCTCACCCATAGATCCTCAACTCACAGCTCCTCACTCCAGAGATCCTCAATTCACAGCTCCTCACATCCAGAGATCCTCAAACTCACAGCCTCCTCACCCATAGACCTCAACTCAACACTCCTCACCAAAGATCCTCAACTCATAACAGCTCCTCACTCCGTAGATCCTCAACTCACAGCTCCTCACTCCATAGATCCTCAACTCACAGCTCCTCACTCCAGAGATCCTAATTCCACAGCTAACCAAAATGGCGGCGGTCGCTTGCCCCGCACAGCCCCGCCCGCCCAAGCACCCGCCCGCGCCCGTGTCCTGTCCTGCCCCGCGCCCACACTGACCTGAGCCGCCCCTGCAGTGCCTTCTCCAGCGTCGT